ATGACGGACAACTCGTTCAAGCTTTTCGCTGCTGAGCCCACACCAGGCCACGACCCCAGAAAGCTGATTATGCCGTCAAAGTCTGCCAACGACCTCTCCAACACTCCTCAGAGAGATATTTTCGAGGACGGCAAGCATCATACTCACAAGCACGAGCCGAAAGAAGGCCAGAAGGAGAACCAGAAGGAAGTTCCCAAGGACGGCGAGGGGAGTGCAGCACAGGGCAGCTCGACGCAGACTTCGACTAAGTCTGACGGCCAGCAACCAGCCGACAAGAAAGAGGTCATAAGAGGTCCCTGGAGGATCTTGCGCCTGCTCCCTCGCGAGAGTCGTCACATCATTGGCCGCATGCTGGAGATCAAGGTGAAGGATCGTGCGACTATGCAAGAAATTCTCGATGAGCCCTGGGTTGCCAATACAGTCATTTGCCAGCAACCCGAGCCGGGCCGCGTTGTACACGCAGAGGATCACATTCACACTCTTGAGCCACCACAGCCCCCGAAGTAGGGTTCACAGCACGGGCGCGGTCAACACAAATTGCATGTCTGAAAGGCGTTTAACCGGTTGTAGATGGGGTTTTGGAATGGGACAGGATGTGGAAGATACTTGGAATGACATGAGCCCCTCGTGATTAGGGACACAGCGATGATATTGGAGCTTGGGTGGTATCGGAGTCCGTCTCGAGGTTTTGTAGATGTTGCTGCGGCTCCGCTCACGGCCTTGGATCAAGCGATTGAATTAGATAGGTAGATAATACTATTCAGAAAAGACTCAATATGTTGACCTAGCTCATCGTGATGAAGTGATATCACGAGATGTCCCGTCCTGAGGCAAGTCTCAGTAAGGTAGCAACTCATCTTCATCCGTGGATGGTCTGTGTCCGTACGTCAAATGCGATATGATCGATTGGTAAGTACCTCATTCATCCTCGGCATATACAGCCAATCGGACGATATCCAGGGGTATGTAACGGTGGGGCGTTCGGGAAATCCTTTGGCCGATCGGCCCAAAAAATTGTTGACATTCTGGAAGCTCTTGGAATAGCTTCAAGGCTTAAAGTTCGTCCCCCGTATCGATTCTACACTTCACCGATCGTCATCCGCCCAATCCCTCCCAACAGACCAAAGTTGCCGCTTTCGCTGTCAATTCCATCACAACAGTCACAATGGTACGTTGGCACCCCTCAATTCTACGCCGCAATTCTGGCAGCAGCCTTCCCCTTAAGTCGGCAGCACGACGGGCATCCCCATGTTAGCCCTTGATATTGTCTGCCGCCATTGCCAGCAATGCAACATCTCGCAAAACCATTTCGCTGACAAGACGCATTGCAGTCTGCCTCCTTCCGTTCCATCCGCGCCCTTGCGCCCCTTCTCGACCGCGTCCTCGTCCAGCGCGTCAAGGCTGAGACCAAGACCGCCAGCGGCATCTTCCTTCCCGAGTCCTCCGTCAAGGAGCTCAACGAGGCCAAGGTCCTCGCCGTCGGCCCCGGTGCCCTCGACAGAGACGGCAAGCGGTTGCCCATGGGTGTCGCCTCTGGTGACCGCGTCCTGATTCCCCAGGTACGTTTTCGATCCCTGACAGCAACCTCAACTGCGGCGCCAGTCATCGATCCTACCCGCTTCTCTGCTTCCCTAATTCCGCGACCTGGCCCGTGAAAGGTGGTGACATTCGGGAATGTGCAGTAGCCTGCACCTCTTTATTTGACATCTCTTTCGCCGCATAATGTCGGCGGAAGTGGAAATAGAATGATGGGATGATGTGTGCGGGTGAAGACAGGATGGGCGATTTAGTTGAACAAGCACAACATATGGATCCGATGGGCTGACAAGATGTGATGCAGTTCGGCGGCTCCCCCGTCAAGGTCGGTGAGGAGGAGTACCACCTGTTCCGTGACAGCGAGTAAGTTTACACCAATCCCTTTACCACACAAACCCTTTCAGCCAGCAAGCAGTTCGATATGTTATACCAAAAGAAAGACAAGGTCACTAACGTGATTCCCTTCACCTAGGATCCTCGCCAAGATCAACGAGTCATAAACAGAAATCTGCCAGAAACGACTCAAATCATAAAAAAGTGTAAAAGATACCCACGAGGTCTTTGGCGTGTGTACAATACCGTGTATCAAAAGAAACTCCAAAAATGAGAGCGAAGTAAGGGAGGGTGTATAGCCCCCCACCCAGTATTCAATTTACCTGGAATATTCAACCAATGAACGCTGGAAAACTGTATTATGGAGGGAGTGACTGGTTTGGCCCTTTGCATAGAGACTTTTTTGGGGTGTGGTGTAATAGTAGGTGTGATTTAGCTTCCGCGAAGTAGGAGTCGGGGAAATGCATAGGAGATGGAGTGGAGGGACTCCGAGTTGAGTAAGAGGAGTGACACAAACCGTGTCCCTCTCTTCTTTGCTCCTGCTCTTCTTATAGGCTGGAACCGCTCCTCCCTCGGCGGGGTTTGATTCATCAAGAAACCTCTCCTCTCTGCCACCAAGTTTCTCGCCTTGATGCCTCAAGTCGTCCGATGTGATGTTCTCGTAGCAAGCTATGGTTGGCTGGTGTGGTTGCGCTTAGTATAGTCGTGGCACCTAACAACTGACCTCGACGCATGACTGCTGCGAGGAGTTACTATGAGCAAATCATAGACAACATACTACAGAGATGGGTGTATTTCAGGACGCGGCTAAGAGGGGATCTTCATTCATTGAGAATACCTGGTGAATAGTACGACACCATCTCAACCACGTCTTGCAGAGTTTAGACAATGCTCTACTCCTTTCAGACAGAGTCAAGCGTCTTCAACATGACAGCTTATCATGACCAAGAAGCTAAAGCGGGCATGGTGTGTTTTTTCACCGAACGCATCCGGTCAAGCTTCATGGATTAAGCATGCGGTGATGCCTAGCAAGGGAAACGGATCGTATCAACCATCGTCGGCTCAGGCAGCCCGATCAGAGACAACCCAGAAACCCCAGACAAAGTTGCCAGATTGGGGGATAAGAAGCAAAGCTTTGGCTTGGGATGGTTGTAGAGCCCATCAGGAGAGTAGCAGTAAACAACAAACGGCCACGACATGACGTACGTCATCTAACTCGCCTACCTACGTTGGTGGGCTTGATCCCTTTTCGCCAAGACGGGAACAATCGTTTTGCGCAAGCAGCCGCAGCGCAATACGACACATCCCTTCTCTCTCGGATGCGCACATACGAGGGGCACACGTGCATACCAAAACAAGGTGTCTGACTTTTGACGACTAGTGAAAAAGCACTATGGGAACTGGAAAGTTTCAAGTTCTGGGATTCGATCAATGTCTGAGATATTCTGGCTTGGCAAGTTTTGGCCGTGTAGTTCAGAAATAGTGCGGACGCAGCGGCAAGGCATCGGACAAAACAGACAGACATACTCGGTACACAGTAAGGGGAGAGCGAGTTGAGGTAGGCATGTCTTGCTGCGAGACCCGCGAGTGTGGGCGGTGCAAGACAAACAAGCTATTTCCTTCGGGACGGGCGAGTGGGCGGAAAGACGAACCTAATCATCAGTGGATACACAGAGAGGAGGTGCCGCAGTGCTTGATATTGGAATTGCAACCAAGATTTTCATCTGGGGACGCCGCGCACTCTCGGGCTGCGGACCGTCGTACGGCTGTGGGCTGTGGAATTGCGATTGAGGCTCGGCCTGTGCCCGAGTCATTTTCTATCATGTCGATTCCTGTCTCACCAGTGACCAACTCTGCTCGTGTACACTTCTCGCTGCCCATTGTTCTTTCCTCCCTGGTCACACTTTGGGCAGTGCTGGAATGCTCGTTGATGAGAGAGGAAACGTGTCTGGCCATCTACTGGGCCCCGCCCTCCTCAGTGGAGGGAGAACAATAGGATTGTCCTTTTCGGACGCGGCTTTCTTCCCCGGTGATGAATGGGCAAGCACGACCCTGGGACAATTCGGACGTAATCAACAGAAAATGGATACTATATACATAATAGGTAAGAACTTGTGCGGCGGCCACTGGTAGCAAGCTGAGCCTCGACCGTTATAGGTATGGATAAGGTAGATGACTAGGAACCAGGCAGTACGGAAATGCGCGCGATATACAGAGCAGAAAAAGAGAGCACAAGCAGAAAGCTGAGAGGGGGGACACCGGTAAGCGTGATAAACATAATTAAACAACTTTGATCAAATCAAGAAAGAAGCGAGATGGGTGTGAGAGGAGTCGCTCCGAAATTGTGCATGTCCACATGGAAAGTGGGAATCTTACGGGTTTATGGGTTCATAACTCACGGGCCACCACGGTCCATGGTCATGGTCCGCGGGAGAGGTAGTGATGGAGAGTGAGAACACGATGAATGAGAGTGAGCCGGTGAGGCTCTATGTGAATGAATGTGAGATCCGATGGGTCTCCCGGACAGATGGTGGATTCCAGCTACATTTTGGCGGGCAGAGCGGCCAGTGAGCCACGAGTCGGAAAGTCTAGACGCTGGCCTGCCAGAAAGTCAAGACCACCACCCCTTTTCTTGCCTCTGTGATGTCGTCTCACGGGCCACCAGGGAAAGTCCACAGCAAGGCAGGGATCCGTGGATCATGGATTGAAGAGAGGGAGACTGAGAGAGAGATACCGCGGAAACTGTGGAGAACAAGGTTGGGCTGCGAGATTTTCGAGGATCTTGTCAGCGATGAATGGGAGCCAGTCGTTTGCTGGTCCTCTTTTCGTTCTGATTCAGGGGTTGGGGGGACATATGGGGGGCATGTTCAAGGGGGGGGCCGGTCCCAAAAAGTCAGTAAGCAACCCAACGCTGCTGAGGGTTGAGAATGCACGTTTGACGCAGTAAGGCGGCTGGGCGGCTGGCGGCTACGTTTGTGATGTTAAGCTATATTCAGCTGCCAATCGGGAACGAAAAGGGACGACGGTTGGTTCGAATTTAGATTTTTGGAATTCGGATGCGGCTGGAGGGAAAGGGAGGGGGATAGGACGAGACGAACGTCCCCTCTTCCTTCTCGCGTGGTTCATGTGGAATGTCCCAGACTTCATTGGCAACAACGAAACAGCGGCTCGGGACAGGTTATACGGAGACACCTGACAGGCTTGACTGGTGGGATCTGGAGTGGGCTTCTTGGCAGGGCGTGACGCCTGGTCACCAACTGGTCCGCGACGAAGAAACAAGACTTTTTTTTGTGGTTTTTTTTTTCTTTCGCTGTAATGTAACCTGGGGGAATGATTACTGGAGTACTGGAGTGAGATCGAATGAAAACTCATCACAACTCACAGTTGAGAAGAGAATGGGCCAGGACTTGGCTGGGCTCTTGGGATTTCTGGATCTTGGTACACTGGAGAAACTGGATCGAGGAGTTGGAAGTGGGAAAGGCTCAAGAGTTGATACCTGGTGCCGGGACATGCGTGGCTCTGGGTCCCTCGGCCCAGTTATGTGTTTAGTACGTTACAACTTTGCAGTTCAAGCTTACCTGGCAGCTTAGTTAATTGCTGTTAAGGTGCGTTTCCCAAGTTTCAAAACAGTTTGCCTAAACGTTTTAACCTTACTGTGCTCGGTGTCATTCCAGAACCCCGTCGCTGGTGCTTGAATGGATTAGCTAATGCATCTCAGCAGACATTCGATGCACTCTGTAAGGTATGCACAGCAGCGTTTGGTGTGCGTGCCCGACAGGAGGCAAGTCAGGAGTTGATTGACTTGTCTCGCCTCAATCACGGTTCGGCTCATTTTTTCGATTCTTTTTCAGACTAAGATCTCAAGTGACAAGATTGTTTCTTCTTTCCCCCTTCCGTGTTAACACAAGCACTCTCCAACCCCCTTCTCCAAATTGTTCCCGCTACCCCTTGCGCCAATCAGTCAACGAGACGATCAATCGACGCAGCCAAGCGAAACCTCTCGGGCGATAGACATCAGAAAGACGGGCAAGCTAGCCGGCCCAGCCCAGCCCAGCCTACCTTCTTCACCTTTTCGAGACAAAGTGTCGTTGGTGTCTTGGTCAAACGGCCGAACTTGTGGCGGCGGAGGCGGAACTAAACACGAGTTTAAAAGCTGAAGTGCGAGTTATCTAGCTGATGACAGCCTCCCTCCCGAGCCCCTGGGTGCCCCTAGATTTTACGTTCCGGTTCGCCTCTGAGGTATCACAGTGAGGTACGGTTATCTCCTGTAGTCACACTCGCGGGAGTTGATTGACAGTATCCGTATTGACTCGAGTAAATCCCCCCTCCTTCTCCTGAACCCCGCGCGTCACACGCGAATCTGCACCTATTCGGCTTTTCGAGATGGGCCGAAATGGTTTAGTGCCAGGGGAGATCGACGAATCTTAAAACGGCGTCTGAACTTTCGGCTCTGCGCGTTTCCATTGCTCGCTCTCTGCTGAGGTCAGAGGCATTTATGTACACACACGTATCCGTATCAGCACAGTACATCGTTTGGTGGGAGATTCTAGCGTGACAATGTCTGGCTCCAACTGCAGCTACCGGGCTTCTTCTTCCTTCCATGACGATGATCCGGTCTTGGTATTCAGTGGGCAGACTCCAGAAGGGGCGTTGCAAGTCCCTAGAGTCCAGACTGTGCGCGTTGTCGGGGGACTCGGGCACTCGGGGAGGAGAGAGAAGCGGACGCGGCTATCCATTCGGTCCCGCAAACCAAGGACCCAGGGCTGAGGGAAATGCCTCTCTGATCCTGTGGTATGGTATGATAACACCGCGCGTCTAATTCGTTGTTCGGCTCTTGGTCGATCACTTGGTCTTGTTTGCTCTCTGTGCCTTGGAAAATCCTACGCAGTAATTCCCCGAAGGCGACGGCAATGGAACTAGACAGTCACCATGGCCAGGTACGTAGCCATTAGGGCGGGGCGGGTTCGGACGACGAGGGCAAGAGGGATGGATCATGGATTGGAAGGATGGGATGAAATCCATGGAAGGGACGATGGGATAGATGGCAAGATGGGAAGGAAGTGAGATACCAGCGATACGTACCCCCAAGTGCCCCCAGTAGCGCCGCCCACTTCTGTTTCATCTTCCCATCTCCGTTGTCCCCACTAACGCACGCCACGAGTCCCTGCAATATGAACTTCCTCTCTGTTTGTCAGTGGTTTTTCTCTTGGCAAGGGCCCAGGCTTCTTTCCTGTTGGTCAGACTGTTCTTTCTTCTCTCTCTCTCTCTCGCTATTCACACTTCGCTCCTCTCGGGCAGAATCATCTCACCACCACACACACGCACACCCGTATCTGTCTCTCTCTTCACGGTATCTCGCTGCTGTGCCCCCTCGCCCCTCGCCCCTGGCACCATGATCTGACACCCCATGGCTAGCTTAGGCAGGCAGAAAGAGACTGAACAGAGGCAATCCTCCAAGGCAGATCCCGTATACCTTCCGGCTGTCCTGTGGGAACTCCACCAACCCAGCGGCGGCAATTTGTCTTGAAGCATGCCTTTTTCGGCAGAATGACCGCGCTAGCGCACCACCCAATGTAACCTGCAAGACGGGAACTGGGGGCAACATGGCGGCGCGGAAGAGGCACAGATAGTAAGGTGACGAGAAAGACAGAAGTCACAGAACTCTCTGTAATATGGACACTGAAGTAGTGGACAAGGCGAGTGGGGGTGGTTGCCAACAGCCAACTTGCTGCCCGTTGCTACTGGTACCGCCCACAGTCCACAGCCCGTTGCCTACTGCAAGGTACCAGGCCGCCCGAGATGAGAGATGGAGAAAGCAACCAAACCAGGGGTGTCTATGGCCTTGCAGGAGCGGAGCTGCACGTCTAAAGGGGGGGGCGTGCAAAGCGGTTGAGCTTCTTGCTGAACAAGAGTGCCACTATTCGCTTCCGCCCCCAGCTAGTGCTACTTCCAACAGGATGACGGAGCCTCGGAGAGGGTCAAGGGCACTATGGAGCATCCGTACTGCAACTGTGCAAACCGCTGCCGCCCTCCCTCCTTGCTACGCCGTAGCCCGACCCTCTCTCGCGGCTCGCCCTGTCATGGACCGCTGGGGTTATGGACCGTTGGTTGGTTGATATAAATCCATCTCAGTGCCCTCGATATCGGGCCGCTCCCTCTTTTTGTTTCTTGACCCCCATCGCGTTCTGTACACAGCTGGCCGCTGATACCACACTCCCTTCTTGTTCGTCCTCTTTCTTGAACGAACTTTACATTCATTATACCCACCAGAGCCAAACAACTCTTCGTCAGTTCGTTTGCTCCTTCAGTCTCTCTCGTCTAGCACGAAGTCACTGTTGAACAGTTCCACTCCTTGAACAAGGCAAAGCCAAGCGCTTACACCAAAGCAACAAAACCACCAACTACATTTCAGTCCTTCATTCGATATCTTCGATTTCGACTTTCTTCAGCAGGCCTGCTCTCAGCTGTACACAGAAACCCATCTTTTTCGGACCTCGACGTTCTTTCTCGCACAAAAAACGCAACATCTCATCTCAGGATACCCAACTTTCAACCCATTAAAATGAAGTTCTTCACCACTGCCCTGGCCATGGCTGCCGTTGCCAACGCCCACACCCTCATGTCCAAGCTGTACATCAACGGCGAGTCCCAGGGTGATGCTACCTGCATCCGTATGCCCAAGGAGGGAGACACCGCCACCTCCCCCGTTGCCGGTCTGACTAGCGACGACATGGCTTGCGGTAAGCTACTACCATGCCTCCGTCCAGCAACAACAAGCTTGGGCGCTGCTCACTTTGATATTCACATTTACTGACATCACCCACAGGCAAGGACGGCCAGATCGCTGCCGCTTACACCTGCGCTGCCCCCGGCAACTCCAAGCTCACCTTCGAGTTCCGCCAGTGGCCCGATGCCCGTGCCGAGGGCTCCATCGACCCTTCCCACAGGGGTCCCTGCTCCGTCTACGTCAAGAAGGTTGACGACATGACCACCGCCGCCGCTGGCCCCAACTGGTTCAAGATCTGGGACGAGGGCTACGATGAGTCCACTCAGCAGTGGTGCACCGACAAGCTCATCGCCAACAAGGGTCTTTTGACCGTCGAGCTCCCCTCTGGCCTTCCCGCTGGTTACTACCTCGTCCGCACCGAGATCCTCGCCCTCCACCAGGCCGTCAGCCTTCACGACCCCCAGTACTACGTCGGCTGCGCCCAGATCCATGTCTCTGATGGCCCCTCCGGCGCTCTCGAGATCCCCTCCCAGTACTCCGTCAGCATCCCCGGCTACATTGACGGCTCCGAGGCCGGCAACAACTTCAACCTCTACGACAACCCGCAGTACCCCTACCCCATCCCCGGCCCCGAGCCCTACAGCCCCGTCGGCACCGCTTCCGCCAGCGCAAAGTCCACCTCCTTCGAGGGCGGCGTTCCCTCTGACTGCCTGATCAAGAACGCCAACTGGTGCGGTAAGGCTCCCGAAGCCTACACCACCCAGACCGGCTGCTGGGCCGCTGTCGACGCCTGCTACGCCCAGGGCAACGTGTGCTTCGACTCCGCTCCTCCTACCGGCGCCGCCAACTGCTACGTCTGGAACGACAACATGTGCAAGGGCATCTCTGCCCAGTGCACGGCCGGCAACTGGCAGGGCCCTCCCACCATCGAGATGACCGCCAAGACCGTCGCCGCCCCCGGCGCCATCCCCGCTGCCGTCAACCTAAACCTCCTCGGTGGCTCCGCCAACACCGCCGCCGCTGCCGTCGCCTCCGCTACCCCCTCCAAGACCGCTGTTGCCGCCTCTTCCTCTGCTCCCGCCGCTACTCCTACGGCTGAGTACGCCGCCGAGGACCCTATCGCTACCAGCGCGCCCGCCGCCACTGTCGCCCCCGTGACTTCGGCCGCCCCCGTTCCGGCTTCCACCTCCGTTGCCGCCCCCGCCGCTCCTTCCGCCTCTGCTCCCGCCTCTGGCGCCCTTGTCCCCTCCACCGACGGTACCTGTGGTGGCAGCACCGGCTTCACCTGCGAGGGCAGCACCTTCGGCTCCTGCTGCTCCGCCGCCGGCAAGTGCGGCAGCAAGATTCTGCAGTGCAGACCCTCTTGCGGTTGCCAGACCAAGTTCGGTCTCTGCCTCGAGGCCCGCAGCCTGACGAAGAGCAACTAAAGCAAGCAAGCTTAGTTTCTTCCTGACCCACACCAACCCCTCCATCAAACTACATCACGACATCAAAACAACATTAGAACGTGATCATGACGACGACATGAAAGAAACCCCCTTCTTCCATCAGTGGATTCAAAAACTTCCTTCGCTTCGCTTCGCTTTTTTCTTCGACGAGTCTTGCTCTTTTTTAGCAACATGCACCTCGCTTGCATCATTTATCTTCAACTAGGGGGTGGAAAAAACTTTTGGGGTTTGGTGACAACACATACATCACGGCCGGGTTCAATGGTGTTCTTTTTTGCGAGTGGGAAAAAAACAAATTACATCGGAACAGGAAATCATGGGCATTGCTTGGGTAACTTCTGGTGTTTTTTGTCATGTGCCATTCTTGTATATAGTGTACAATTTGATCATAAACAAATATGGATCTTTCAAAGTGCCTTTCTGCCTCTGTATAACGGCATGTGAGTTCGGAATCGTGATTAAATGTGTGTCAAACGTCTATAACTACATGCAAGTGTGGCCATCTCCTGAATCGAGAGACAATGACTTCCACGAATTGGTATTCTCGCATTGGTTGGGCCATCGGCTGTTTGGAGGAGCTAGAGTTTCCCTTCAATCACAGATATGCATATCCCCACAACTACGTAGTTGTCGGAAATATAGTTGCTTGCCAGTCGGTAGTACGAAAGTATTCACTGGAGAATCCAGAGCAACCGCGCTCTAGACAGCAACAATGACGTCTTCAGTTGTTTTGCGATAGTCTTGGGTTGAAATACTATGGAGAAGAATCCTTGGACCGTCCATTACCTTATATATAAAGTGCACTCCCGGTCGTTGAGGCCTTCCAGACGGCGAGGTTTGTTTTACGGCCATTTGTTAGCTCTTTTACACTCGTCTTCTTAGCTTGTCCGTCATAAGCTCAGTCTTGAACACGTTCTACTCGACTCAAGCATGGTTGTCGGCTCGTCGCCTTGGCGGATCGTTTGTCGTCGAGGTACCAACCGCCTTGATCGCGAGTATTGATGCAGGATTTGACAGGCATTTTCATAGTCTCGAGAGTTTGGCGATTTTGAATAGCGAAGACCGAGAAGGTTTGGCGTTGGACTCTCCCTTTGTTTTTTCTCCTTGACTCTGTTTTCCCATTCTTCCCATTCTTTGCAGTCTACGGAGTACCCGCAATGCGGAAGTTGCTTCGGGAACGCTGACTTGTGGTGTATTAATAGACTGTGAATAAAGTTATCCCGCCGGCTGTCTGAAGTTGTCGCGCACCTCGTTGTTACTCGTGACACCTTGAATCACGAGACGGATTTCAGATGAACTAGGCACTCAGTATACGAGCACTCGTTGTTGTGAGATGAACTTGTTGTGAGACCCGAACTGTTATGGTTGGTTATGAAGAATGTCTGTTGTAGCGCCGGGTGATCTAGGAGGTATCGTTTACAGAAAGAAGTAAATTCCAGCAACGCCATCCTGCCATTCCTCGCCACTTGTTCATCCTTCGGTACTATTGAAGAGTGCCTTTCCAGTCTTGCATGAGTCGTTGGATTCAACCGCTCTTTCAAGCTAGCTGACCGTGCCACCCAATATGCTGTCGTCCTCCCCCAAATATGATGCAAAAGTTCGTTCAAGGAAATCAAAGTCGTCGCATCGTGACTATACCCCCATAAGGTAGTTGTCAAAAGTCCAAGGTACATGTATACATGGGCATTCTTAGGGAGTGCAGCTGAATCCGAAAGGGCTCTTTTTGCACAATCCCGAGGTGACGCGAGTGCCGCCAGGCTGTGTATAGGAGAGATTAGCCCATGCGAAAGGCCTGAGGCTTTGCCATTGATCTGGTAAAGGTCGGGTTGTACTTACTGAATCCTCGCAGGTGACTTTGCACGCTACGCCGACATTGTCCTTGGTACAGTTCGGTACCTGGGTGCACTGGCTACTAACTGTTGGGGACTGGGCCGCGGCCTGGCCCACGAGGATGGCGGCTGCGATGACGAAGAGAGATTGGAAATGCATGTTTGTTTCGTTCGGTTTTGATTGTGAGGATGGAATGATGAACAGCTGTAGGAGGGTATAGTTGAGTAAAGAAGATGAAGAAGGAAACTCGGAAAGTAAAGACGCGGTTGTCGTCCGTCTTAATATATTCCTTCAACGACTCCCCACTTGTCTCTTTTCCCCGTCAAGTCATTATTACTGCACGGCCTGATCGGCATCAAATTCCTTGATGAACGTGTAACGTTCGGTATCCCACATGGCGGATTTAGATTGAAACTTCTGCTCGCAATTTAGAGTTTCCCCTGTTGAATACTCACGGTACTATACCATGAAGCTTTATTATGGTATGTTTAGGTGCGCAGAGGCATTATCGTGGCCTCGGTGTCCGCTTGCGCGTTGTGGCTGGGGGGTGTGATGCGAGTCATGGGGCTGTCGACTCGGCTGGGTATTTGGAGTGGGATCTGCTTCAACGGGCCAGGAGCTAGGGGTTTCCGAAACCTCGGAATTCTGTTTGTCCATAATCTGATTCTGATTCAAATCTTGTGGTATTTACTTGCTTGCACTTTGGGAACTTTGTTCATTCTTGCAAGAGAGACTTTGACTTCAAGATGGATGATGGGATGAACCTCCTCCGTATTGAACCCCCAGCCGACGTCCAGCGGCAAACTCACGCAGTCACTGAGGCAAGGTGGACACCAAGCCAATCCTAAATCGACTGCCAAAATGGAGAGGAACTGATATAGGCTCACGACAGCCCCCTTAGAAATGGTCTATGCGGTGGGATCTTTACAAGTAGCTCGGAATAGTCACCAAGCCCACGCGTGAACGGCACGGCTGCACATGACTCGGCTTCCGACAAAGTTTCATGTAGACGAACGCCTTTATTCGCCCCGTCTGTTTCGTACGAGAAAGCTGAGGGTCTCACGCGCAAGTTCCATATTGCTCGCGGGCCTCCCGATCGCCTTGAAAGCTTGGGCTCCGTGCAGAGGTTGATGCTGTTGAACGAACGCTGGGCGCACAGACATCATGGGATTGGAGAGCCTGATGAAGGTGCCAGAAGTAGTCGGTGGTGTTTGTAACAATAGCTTTGAGGGTCCAATATAGCTTAAGCCATGCTGAGGTATGAAATAACGTGGGCCGTACTGCTAATGAGCGCTGAGCCACGCCACTGCTCTACGAAGCTGCTGGTGACAGATTTTACTTGCAGGGCAGCTTCAGCACGTCCTAGGTGTTCAAATGAAGGTTTGTCGAGCAATTGTTCCTCTCCTCTCGGGGAAGTTCTTCAAATGATGGCTGGATATTCACCGATGAGCATGTGTCGAAAGTTCCCGTCTCTTCTGGCATTGAAAATCCAGCGACCAAGGATCTGCCGCACGTAAAAAAGAGCAGAAGATGGCGGACAAGGGACGCAATATGGAAAATTCTCGGTTCAGACAGCCTTCAGCGTGGCATACAATCCAGCATCCCGATCCTGGCAAATATTGAAGCCCCCGTCTCCGCCAAACCCATCCCGGAGTCGTCCCCGGTGAGCACGGGCCTCCCGCCTCCGGCCGGCCGATCTTGGCCCACACACGGCAGAGCTTGTCTCCCAATCGGGTAGGAGGCTGGCGGTACGTAGCCATCTTTGGCATGCAAGGAGGGGGTTACCTACCATCCTCCCGAGATGTCGTCACACCTCCAGACTTGATGGAGGGGAATACGGGAGTATATCAGAATGGAGAAACCTAGTTTATTGCAACATTTTACATCCTCGTCAAATACAGGAGCACATATAACCGCCAGCTACGCGGACAATAACTTCGGCCCGATTCATATCGCCATGAGCGGACTGCGACCCCGATATCACTGGGTCGCTCAGCCCACTTCTTAGTCGCTCGTATCTATCCCGAGTCCCCGCCGGTTTCTAAAAGGAGTTCGAAACGAGGAGTTTGTAGCTGGCGCAAGCAAGAGCAAGGGGTATTTCGTCGAGGCAGGCAGCGTCGCCGAGCTCTTCTAGCATGGATACGAGCTATTTGGCGGCGACCAGATCTGCTTTCACCACCTGGAACGCTTTCTAGATTATTGGCGCGGGCTGGTTGACGAGGATGCCTGGCGTGTAGGGCCGCAAGGGATGGAGGGCTCTATTTAGTTGTGTTGTATTTTATGCATTATGTGCGTAAAAAAGCTCACCGTTTATAAATATTTCTCTACATATGATTTCCTTTATGTAGTATGTACTAACATATACGTATCGCTTGAAATTGATAAAGTAATAGTACTCCATGATACGCGTAGAGCTTTTGCTGGAAAAGGTACCCCTTTATGACGTCTAGCCGCACCACCAGCTACATATCTGAAATGTTGTGAGCAAAGCGGCGGTGGGCGGGCGGGCGGGCCGCCATGAGAAGACGGCTAGGCCTTCGCCAGTAATCACTCCCAGTAAATCACTATAATGACCAGACGCCGCTGGACCGGGCTTATAAGTAGTCGGGCAGGTATCTTCAGATCCAATTCTTATGCAAGTCTGTGCTCTGGTGGCTCCGTGTACAATGCTTGAATCCGTTCCAAATTTGAAAGCCTCTCAACCGCTCTCCATCTTTAACAGCTCCCCCTCTCATCTCCAGGGCAAGAAATGCAGCACTGATAACTCTTGCCATCAAACGTCGCCGAGAGACGTCTCGGCACAAAGGTGCCTGGAGCATCACAGACGACCTGGTCGCTGTAGATGCCTTGAGGGGAACCGCCGATCCGCGTGCAGAGTTCGCGGGACTGGTCGATCCAGGCTTGCATGGAAATTTGGCCGCCGTTGGGACTGCATGATTTCCGGGTCCATTGGCAGGTTTTGGCACTGGCGATAGCCAGGGATGAGGCCACGGTGAGGAGGAGGGTGAACTTCATTTTGGGTTGTTCTTGAGGTTATGGTCTGAAGGGAGATATGGTTGGGGTTTCAGAGAGGACTACTTCGAGCTGAAGGGATGTAGTATCTTGCGTTTTCAGTTGAAGTTGCTGAGTTGATGTGAAGCAAGGGCTAT